AACCTTAACCAAAAATCTTGATAACGTTTAACAAGACGGGTACCCGGGTGCCTGCTCACAATTCCAGGGTTGTCAATAGGTATTTTGAGATAATACTCCCCTAAAGATTATTATCAAGTGGTATAATTGACTGGCCAGCAAGATCACCGGATCTGTCCCCTAATGACTTTTTTGGGGTATATGAAATCCAGCGCATATGGATATAAAAGTGCTAATAGTTTAAATGCATTAAGAATTAAAATTCTAAACACTTTTCAAAAAATATTTTCAATGCTAAACAATTTTTGAAGGAAATTTCATGGCCGGTATAGATAACCGTGAGAAATGAAATTTTAAAAAGTAAAAATTAAAAAACTAAAAGTAAAAAACTTTTTTATATAAATAAATATTTTTTTTATTTGTTTGTAGTAAAAAAATAATAGACCAATACTACAAAAACCTACTTTTTATTAAATCCTAACTAAGTATAACGTCTAGGTAAACTTAACTATATTTTTAGAGCCTTAACCTTAACTTTATTAAAATCATAATTCTCTTACAGAATTTATAGACTGTAATAATTAATGTCGTAAAAGAGGTGAATATACATTTTATATGGCCGTTTTAATGGACACTACATTATAAAAGTATACTTATCAGTGCTGGACTAAAGCATAAGCAAACTAAGCACCTGCTTAGGGCATCCATGCAAAGGGGGCACACAACAAACCATTTGAAATTTTTGTTAAAAAAAATTAAATTGTTTTCTAGGAATCCTACATATCTATAAAAAATTGCGACGTGAAGTTTTTGTAAAAAATATTAACTTTAATCCGGCCCTGCATGAGCACTAAAAGGTTTATAGTTAGGTCATCACCAGGTCTTAGTCCGTCCCTGATACTTATACTTATGTAGGTGGGCTTCTAAAGGGCGATCTAATTTAGGCTTTTTTTTTGTTGCTGTTATTTGTAAAGTTTCATGATATTTTTAAAAATGAAAAAAATATGTATTTTTTTTAAAAGAAACCCTATAAAATTAGTTGATTACAAAATCGTTTTAAGTGATTTTTTAAACATACATTGGCAAGTTGTGGCTTTATGGCCTTTTAGAAAAAATTTAACATTTGATATAATACAGATTCCCAAGTTATAGAAACTAATTAATTTAAATCATTTTTAGATAATAAAAAGTATTTGTCGTAGAAAAAGTATAGTGTGCAACTCATTTATAAACTTTTCTATACACTCATTTAATTAGGTACTTGCTCGTAAGCTCGATCGTGCCTACATTAAATTAAATTAAAATTAAATTAATTTCATAATTAAAATTTGTTTGTTCTGGTTTTAATAAAACATAATATTATCGCATAAAATAAATTGTTTTGTGCGAATCAATGCTATAATTATGATGTACAAATAAATTCTGTGATTATTCTCACATATTAATAAAGTACAATCCAGATTGTTGAATATAAAATAATACTCGCAATTAATTTTAATTGGAAGTTTTAAAAAATTCAGTAATTAAAATAAAATTTATAATATTAAAATTATTATACAAAAAAACTTCGACTCTTTATTTCGTGTTTTTAATGGATATTCCTACAAAAAAATTATTAAAGAAACACAATAAAAAAGGTATGCCACCCATGGGTGATGCAGAAAAAGATAAAAGTCAGAAGAGGCTTAGTTATTTTTGGTTAGCCACCCTAAGGGCAATAAAACAAACATGATATTTGGCGTATAAACAAAAAGGGGAGAAAAGTACAACATAAAATAATCCTAAAAGGTAATACCTTTCATAAGGCACTGATTAATTATAATTTTTTATGCATAAATCCCATGGGATTTAATTTAAAAAATGTGTTAAAAACAGTATAAAATATCCTAAAACCATCTAAAGATAAGAATTTGATATTCACTTCCAATTTGGCTACACAAAATTACTGTCTAACATGTCTTAGCATGTCTTAAAACTAATAGAACCAAATAATTATTTTAAAATAAAAAAAAGTAAAACTTCTGAAGAAGATAATGGAAATTAAGTTTTAGAATGTTGAATGAAGTTGTGTTGTTATTTACATATTGACTAGGTGTGGTTCTAAGGAAAAAAATAAGTCATTTCAACATTTAACCAATCCACATACTACCGCCCCAACTGCATTTTGAAATTTTTTGAAATATTGTAAATTTTGTATATTTTAAAATTTTGAAAAATTTGGGAAATTTAAAAAAAATATATTTTCATTATCGTTTCTTACTCGTCAAACCATTTCATTTGATATCCATACCCATTAGTACACTTATTTGGTATCATTTAGATTATTAAAAAAAATTTCGAGAAAAACAATTCAAGACAAAAACAATTAAATGTCAAAAGTAAAAAAAAAAATTAAACATACCTTATTTTCAGCAAGAATATTTGTTGGTTTCATCTTTTTTTAGGCTATAAACTAAAACTTTAGGGATCGCTGTTAAAACAAAAAATAACTTTGTAAATAACGGACACCCTAGTATACATATACTTATAGGACCGTATGTCCTACGTACGTAAACAGCATATTTAAATAAGCTTGATAAACTGGAATTATACGTATACGGTTTGTTTTGTTGAATAATAGAAAAACGTTAATGATATTTTCCTAATTAAATGAAACAATGACAAGAATAACAACTAAATAAAGTATTTAGATATTATTTAAAATTTGAAATTTATCTAGAGCCTAATTTGGGCACATAATTTGATTTTGGCAGATTTGACGCTTATAAAATAAATATTAAGTATAAAACAAACTGGTACTATGCTCAATACATTAAAGTCCCACCACGTGACTACATACTGAACGCAGTCTTTTGAAAATTTGTCATATAAGGCATTTTAGGTTATGTATCTGTCAAAGTATAGTCAACGAAAAAAATTATATTTATATGTTTACCGTTTATGTTTAGGTGTTAAGCCTGAATTATAGATTGTCTTCCTTCCTTTCTTCCTTCCTTCCGTAAAATATGAAAAATACAAAAATTACGTACGGGAATCTTTAAACAGCACAACGGTTTTTGTATTGTTCGTCTTCTACGGGAGGAAGGAAGAAAGGCAATCTAAAATCAGGCTTTCAAAATTAATAAATTTTTATAGTATCACAATAACAATGGCTGGTTTAAGAATTTAGAAATACAAATACTGCATTTAATGAAATTATAAAGTGTTTGGTGCTAAAAAAGTAATATTTTTATGAATTTGGTGTACATAAAATAGGTTTAACTATTAAACAAAAATCTAGCTAGATTTAGAATATCTGTATCAGAAGTAGTTAAATATATTAACATAAAATATCATCTAATTTTGTTATTTTAAGGCTAAGAACATTTTTTTTACCAAGTATTTTCGATTATTTGGAAGAGTTTGTTAATGTGTTTATATCAATATAGGTACCTATACTAAACAATTGTTGAATATGGTTAAAATTTAAATTGAAGCTTCTATACCTCTTACGACAAAACTTAAACATACCCACTTTAAGTTAGATTATTAGAAAAAAAAACAATATTTAGACAAACGTGCAATGTGAAAATATTTAATACTCAAATAACATGTGATTTATTAAAATTTTAATAGTAATAATGATTTGTCAATGCATTGATGTAGATCAAATTCAGTCAAAGCTTTATACCTACTTCTGTGGGTAAAAGGCATAAGGGAATAAGTCAAAAACAGCAATTTTTCAGTAAAGCCTTCGTATTCGCATTAATTCAGGAAACATATTTATGGTTGGCGGGTATACCCTATTGTTAGCACATGTCATATGCTAACAAAAGCGTATACCCGCTAATATTTTTCCTGAATTAATGCGAACACGTTAAAGTCTCTATTGAAAAATTGCTTTTTTTGACTTATCCCCTTATGCCTTTTACCCACAGACTTGTATTGACAAAACTTTAGGTAGCTATCCTTTAAAAAAATACCACAATTTCTTAAAAGAAATTGTAAAGTAAAAATATTAGATACTTCTACACTGTAGGATTTATTTAAATTTAAAAAGTTATAAGGTAATAATGATTGTTCGATGTAGATAAAATTCTGTCAAAGCTACAGTGAAAACTATAATAAACTTTAGGAAGGTAAGCTATTGAATTTTCAAAAAACAGGAGTAAAAACTATTTGCAGTGTTTTTTAATTAAGTACCTAATGATTTTATATTTAAGATTACTTATATCGTGCTTATTTCCAGGAGCCAGTTACATTGCTTATTGGTAATTTTGTTATACTACAATAGTATCACAATGTTACGTTGTTGTTACATTACTTATTAATTAATCCAAAATACTTATGTATTAATTTTGGTCAAAATATATTTTCCCTACCTTAAAACTACAAAATTAGATGAGATTTTTTGTTATAATTTATTATAATATAATGAAGACTGCGTTCTGGACTTTAATGTTTGGAGCATAGTACATACCATTTTAAAGGCATATCGGACATATCTGTTGAAATATTTCATTGTATTATTTACTTATAATATATTCTTTTAACATCACGTAAAACGCACCATAATTTTTAAATTAGCAACCCTGAATCCGGCTCTATTTTAGGTATATTGGCGTTGTTACAATGTGAAGTAACAAAATATTGACATGAAAATATATTGTGCTAACAAATTTCGCTATGTTTGTGTTTCACAGTTAGGCCTTATTACGTATGTTGGCTTGCCACTGCGTTACTATATTTGTGTCGATTTTTCAAATTTACAGTACAAACGAGTTCATTTTGGCAAATTGAATGTTTACGTGCTACTTGTTTCTGCAGAATCCGAATTCGTTTGGACTGCTCAGAAACATCGTAATTCGATTGTGCGATTTTTATAAAAGGTTAGGTGCATTATAAAATGTTGTAAAATAATGTACAATAAGATAATATGTCGAACAAAATTTAACACTTAAAAATACAAACACTAGCACAAAATTATCAATTGATCTAATTTTAAAAAGTTGAGTACCTATTTAACGTTGACTTTTTTTCAGGGTTCATTCTATTTTGAGGTTCCAAGTGACGAATCACCTTCTCAAAGATGGCAGGATGAAGATTCGGTGTACAGCAAGTCTTCACAATCTGTACCACCGTATTAGCGAAAAGAGTGTTGGTAGAGAGAAAAAACACCATAGGCATCACGTGCTCACCACTTCAACCACCATGGTACCATATAGATCGTGGGAACTTACCCAGGCGGCCAAGAGACCTCCTGACTCAACATGTGAGTTAAAAATTTGTACATTTATAAATATAACTATATATTTATAACTATAGTTATTGAGAAAATATGGGAGCGTATTTTATTATTAAAGTTATATACAAGGATTCTTAAAAAAATATGTGCGCTTAAACCATACGGCTGAAGTGAAACTTTTTTTATACATCCTATGAAATTTGGGTGGCTAAATCCAAATTCGTTTTCGAAAAACATTTTTTGTTGATATGTCATTGTGGTTTGCGATTTTTATAGAAAAAAGTGTCTTAATTTGCGATAAAGCTTCTAAACTGCATCGAAGCGAGGTCACGGGCGGTCACGTAGCAGAGTACTTTCATAACATTAGGCCAAGTTTTGTTTAACCTTCCGCAAAGCGGGACCTAAGATAAATTCTCACAAAAAAAGAAAAATATAGGGGACAAATCTTACCTAACAAAATATTAGGCACACAGATATAACTTTGACCGCTGTCAAAATGACAGCTAACGAAGAAAACGTCAAAATAAAAAATTAAAATAATCCAGAAGGCCCAAGCATAAATAAGTTGTTAAATTAACCTTAAAAAGTGTCACTAAAGTGAAAAATCATGTCAAATATTTTAAAGTTTTAATTATGATTTTTTTTGAAAATATTACTTATAGGTTATTTTATTTTAGAAGAATTTTAACGGTAAATTTAATATTTTCAATTTAAACTAAATTTTTTCTCATAGGTTCACTTTATAGACGTAAATATTTCTTATTTATCTTGTAACTTTGTAAGTTTTTAAAGTTTGGAGTGGTAAAAAAATATTAATAATGGCTAAACATTACTAAATGGGTTATATTTCTAAAAGTATTTATTGTTATGTCAATCAGAAAAGTTAAAATATTTGTAAAATAATAAAAATGTTGTAGAAATATAGTATTTAATAGTAATAAATATTATGAAGAGTGAAATGGTTAAAAAGAGCAATATTGTTGTTGAATAGAAAAAATTAAAATGGTTTGTCAGTACCTGTTCTGTTAAACTAGTATACAGTAAAATTTAATTGTAAAATTATTTGAGTTCAAGTTATATATTTAAATTAGAGAAAAATTCAACTTATAGAGAAAAGCTGACTAAAGCACGACTTGAATTTGATCGTTTTTTTTAATATTTAAGTAGTTTTTAATAGAATATTAGTCGCCAGACGAGACTTACATCCGAGTGAATAATGCGCATAATCTCAAGTGTAATACTATACTTTATCTACTTTAAATTATTTTCAAAAATAAATAAATAAAATCTAACATCTGACACTTTTTACCAATTTTCAATGTTAATATAGTCGCCTTCTCCCAATTTAAAACCCGATTGACTCAAATCACAGTGAATATTGAAATTGGCCAATCACTGATGCCTAACAACGTGAATAATGAGTTCATTGTTCCCGTTGTTAGGCAGAGAATTTATAATGTTTATCATTATTCACAGAAAAAAACAATATTATGCAATAGGAGTAGGAGTACTTAAATAAAATTTGATACCAAACATATTTTTTTATATTTTTGGTTCTAGAATACGCTCCCGATCGAACTACATTTAAATTACACTATATAGGGGTAAAAACTAATACCATATATTTTTTTCAGGGGTATTTCTGTCACCAATAAGCGGTGAAAGTACCAATAAAAGTTCCAAAAATTCTTGCCAAATTCTGTATACTTTAACAATAATAATAATTAATAATATAATAATGCAAAGGTGATTGCCTACTCTATTAATTTAGGGTATATAGTATATAAATGTACTGTAATAAGTATGATTATTTGTATGTTAAAAGGCTCAAATATATTTGGTAATTAAATAATTATTTAAATTTATTAAAATTTTTGTATAATAAATTAATAATATTAAGAAATTGTCGAAATTAACAGGCTAAAAATACTATGGCGCCTAAAAGTAAATAATACATCTAAACGATGTAAAAACTTGTTAGATAAAACTTTAAATTAAAAAGTGTTTATTAAATTTTTAGTGGGAAATTTATGCAGTAAGTTGTTACCGTCCCTTATAGTTAAAACACTAAAATTAAGAGTTTCGCAGCGTGTAGATAAACGATTTCATATTAAAATTCTCCGAAGCATATGTAAATTTTTTGCGAGCATGCTTTTAAAGAATATTAATTTTTCAAGCAACATGGAAAATTATTTGAATGTTTTACTTAGCCAATTCTAAAAGACAAAGTTTGTACATAAAAATTGAGGAGCAGGGCTCTACTTTCTAGTTCTATGGTTTGTTAGAATTTCTGACTAAAAATTTTATCCTTACCAAAACAAAAATAATAATAATATTCATCAATTTGTATGGTTTTGCAATAAAATAAAGTACTTGTTCCAAATATTTTTGAGCTTATATATGTATAGTATTAACAGAAATACATTGCTATATACTATTGTAAATAAAAGGCCATTTAAATAAAAAAATCAGTTTTAAAATAGGTAAAGATATGAAGTAAATTTAAAATGCGTTATTTTCTATATTGCACCCTGTATAATATTTTGCACTAAATATTTTGGGACTGATTTTTAAAAAAACTGTTGTGATTTTGATAAATGTTCAAAGTTTAGTAAAGTTTAGCCAAATTATGTTGTGTTTTATATTTAAATTAAATTCAATTAAATTAAATTTTGTTTGTTTTAAATGTTAGATAAATTTAAAGACAACTTATAAAATAGTTTACTGACCGTATGAATAAAATTTTAAGTCATTGACTAAATGTTTAGATATTTGTCAATCCTGCATGTTTGTTATTTGAAATCGCTAAAAGTTAGTTAATTAATTGGATTTATTTGGTTAATTATAATTATAATAATTATAATTATTAATACAATTAATAGTTTATCCAGAATTCTTTTATTTAAAAAAAGAAATGAATGGTACAAATTTTACTTGGGCTGCAAAAAAGATAACATAATTTTGTCATTTGTCACATTTTGTAATAAATATAAATTTTTAATTTCTGATCAAAGCTACGTAGCTACGTATAGGTATACCTAACGTTAAGCCCAATAAAACCTTTAAAATTGAAAACAAATTACCAATATTTAATCGACACCCGATTCAAAATTAAATGCTATCTAAATAAATTACTTACATTTATTTTAAAAAGTTATGAATTGTAAGTTACCGATCTATAATTACATTTGTTTGACTTGTGACAACTTAAAATGTACTACAAAATGTCAGATGTCAAAATTATAATTTTTTTACAATCCAAAAATATTTGTAAGGTCGATTTTTTAATTAAAATAAACTTATCAAAAATTAACCTTAAGAGAACAATTTATTAACCAACAACCAAATATGCCTAAAAATGTATTTAATGATTAACTAGTCATTGACTAAAAAAATTTGTTCATACGGCCACAGGTGAATTTGCTTAATTAAGTTTAAAATTATAGCATGCAACTATTTTTCTACGTGACTGACTATTTCATTAATTTATTTTTAAGGCATTTCCTTACATTGTAAACTATTTTTGTTAAAAGTTATTTTAAAATATTATATGAATAAAGATAATATAGTGTATAATTGCTTTTTATTTCAAAAACCGTTAACTTATTTATTCTATGAACATAACAGTAGGTATAATATGCTTTAAGGAATATCTACCAGGTGGAAAAAATTCGTATTATAGCCCAGTTTCCATTTTACTGCCGAGGCGCCAGCCGAAGTAGAAGATGTGTGCGAGGCAATTAAATCATTTTTAATATATTAGGTTTTGTCACATTATAGGTTATGTTCAACTTACATAATGTCAGTTTAGCTTTATTTAGTTTTTCTATAATGGAGCTTAATAATAATATGACTTTTGAACTTGTATTAATATTAAGAATTTTTATCTATTTTGCGTTCATAATGTCTTCATTATAACACCGCTTTCGGTGCTGTAATGAGATACTTTATCCCACCCAAAATTTTGATTTTATAGGTTGGATATACTTTAAACAGCATACTAGTAAAATAAATTTTGCATATTTGATCTAATGTTTTTATGATTTTTCTAGTACTTACGAGACTTTTTTGGCAATAAATTTTGTTTAACACCAAAGAAAATCCTTTTTTTCTTCTTTAACATTAACAGCCGCTTATTGTAAATAAGTAAATTAAGGACGGCATGGCGAATCGATTTTGACATTAACTGTCAAATCAAATCTAAAGTAAAATTCTACCAAATTAAATTTAAGGTATAAAATTAATTTTTGCAAAATATATAACTTGGCATAAAGAACTCATGTCATAAGACCTTTTGTCGCACTGGTCCATTATAATTGTCCGCGTGCGACAAAATGACGTCTTATGATTAGTTCTTTAATATACTATTATAAACTATTAATTTTTTTTTATATTTTTTCATAAAAATGATTTTTTGGGCTATGAAACAAATTTTTACAGTAAAGTTGCTGATAAAACACAAATGTTGTACAAAATTTGTATCAAAAATAATTATATTTTATGAAATAGTTGAAATTTTTTTCACTTAAATGCTTTTTTGATATTTTATTGATATACAACGAAAATAATCAAATTTGGAAAAGGCCAATATTTCATTTTTATTTTTGGTCAAATATTCGAGCTCGTTGCTCTTAAACTACTCATGTAATTGGGCATTAACAGTGATATTGGTCGGCGATTCCATTATGATTGGCTATTAGATATGACCCAAATTGTAAAGCTGCATCAAAAAACAAAACAAAAATAAAAATTAATATCTCGAAAACCTTGCATTAAAAAAAATGTATTGTGATTTTCGAGTTTAGCAGGCCAAAATACTGTAGAAAGTACCGCTCTGGATCTCGGAATGATGACTCATCGCCGGTGATTCAGCGCTCGGGAATGCACGTAGGCACTGAATTTATAAGGAACGGCGCAGCATGGAGCAGTGAGTCAAGCTTTGGTACTTGCGACGAAATAAATAAATATATGTGCAAATAAATACTCTTGAACAGTAGTGACATATAAATAATTAGTAGTTAAGTGTTTAGTTAGTTTTATAGTTTCTTAGTGTTTTAAGTGTAAGTTATGAACAGTAAAACGTTACAATAAATTAGAAAAAATAGTGGCACCGAATGTATATTTCATTTTTATTTATTTGTAACCCAGTGTTATTTGTAAAAACTTAATATAATTTTTCTATTCAAAATAATTTAAAAACAAAAATTACAATTTATTTTACTTTTATACAAAAGGCTTGTCATAATAAAGTACATTTTTGTATTTTATTAACTTCTTGATTTTTCATTTCTTAATTAAAAAATAACTCTAAAACAGCAAAGTTCACTTTAGGGTTTAAATTTCATTTTCCGGACTATTTTAATGGCTTAATGCAGTCCAAGTCAAGCAAAACAAAAATCTATAAAAGCCATATTTCATTGTTCAGCAATAAACTACAATTTTCTATTTTTCCAATAAATAGATCGCCCGGAGATTTTCCTACAGTAAACGGGCGCATTTCAACTGCAAACGTACTAGTTAAAGCTTCCAGGTCTGGGAGAAAAGCCAAATTATTACCCATTACGTATAAGTTATGGACCGATTACACGAACTCTAGGCATAAACCAAGAAATTGATACACCTACTGCGAAAACGTTTTTCTTTATTTAATAATACCGAAAAATATACATTTATTATTTTCTTGTAACCTAATCCACCATTATATACGGGTCGTTTTCAAAAAACACCCGCCTTCCGCTGTCCGTAAGTTTGAATTCCAAAAACTTTGATAAAAATTATTGGATCTTATTGATTTAACAACCAAGTGAAAGCCTAAGAAGCCCTTAGTAAACTCTTTCAGAAAATGTTTGTTTAGTTATTTCAGAATATATTTTTTTTTTAATCTGAGAAACACACATTTTTAAATGTCCCATTAGCGTTTTATAAAACTTACATACATGTTTTTTTTTAAATATTGAATAACCAGAACTTTGTGTTACTTTATAGCAATCCATAACATCCTTAGTTAATACAGTAAACAATTTATATATAAAATAATTAATTTTAATATACTTTTTTTAAATTTGACTCATGTCCCAGAAATTTTTTCCGTTGCGTTACGTCCGTCGCGTTACCGATAGAATATTAAAAAAAACATATATATGGCAACTTTTTTGGCACTCACGTGATCCACAAATCATTTTCGGACGTACACATAAACCAGCTGAATTTATTTATTCAATCAGGAAGAAGATATCGGTTGAAACAGGTGCGGGTAACGCGAATGTAATAATTGTTTGTCCGCTAAGTTACTCAAAAAAATAATAAAAATAAGGTAATAAAAAATACTATTTTTCATGATTATGTTTATTTTAGGGCACCAAAGCTCATTGAGAGTAATTAATGACTGTAATGTCTTATTATTATTTTTTAAATATGGTTTCACAAAACTTTTTACACTACGTTACCGAGTCCATTATGTTACCTTATGGTAACGCAATGGAATTTAAGGTAACGCAATAGAATTTTTCGACAACAAAGTGGATATTTACCGTCGCTTTTATTAAAAGTAGTTTATGATAACCCAATTTAAAATTATTTGTGATTAAATCTCATGATATAGATTACATCCAAGGGGAAATTCCACGCAATATACACCGAGAGAAATAGTCTGGGTATAGTTAAAAAATGATTTGTTTTAATATATTTGGTAAAATATAATAAATAATTCTTCTATATACCAAATCAGCACTTCTTAGTAACTATATTCAGAATTACTTAAGTTTATTTTGAAAAAATGATTTGGTTCACTGTATTTGGTTATAAAAA